ACCTTGGGACTAAATCAATTAGTCAAGTACTTGAGGAAGTTGAGCTTAGATGTTTTCCTGAGGTACATTTAAGAGCCGACGTAAAAGAATTCTTTTTTATAAAATTGATGTAGAAGCATTAGTCTAATGGCAATACATTTTGTGACGCCACCGAAAAGAGAATTCAAATGTAAAGGAAAAGAAAATTACAAGTTTTAGAATTAGACACTATATAGATCCCACTTTTAAAATAGAATTCTTTCCCAAGAAAATCCTTTTCTTGTTGCACTGTAGCACAATCGTTTAAAGATGCTGCATACAAAGAAGAAAAGAAGAAAAGAATCCCAAAAGAACAACTTGTATGTCAGTCAAGATTTCAAAGATTAATATTTATGAAAACAATTGGCAAACAACAGTCCATGATCCAAGAACAAAAAATGTTGCAGCAGATGTCCTGTTAAGAGGCTACAGACGATGAGAAGTAGCATACTTTCGTCCATATGTTTTCTCAGACTTAAGAAAAGATATCCTCAGTCTTTCCAATTCTGCAGAACACAGAGTGCCTGTGTATAGAGTGAAGCAGCAGCTTTCTTCTGTACGAGAACTTTGAGCCAAGATTTCCGGCTTCATTTGGAAAGAGGTGGCATGTACATTTGGGTTGAACAGGAATAGAAAACCAGAGAAATAACTCAAATAATCTGAATAACTCAATCTGTTAAGATTTCACAAAAGAAACTGGAGTGGTCACTGGCTGTTTTGGCCCATCTGGCATCCCGTCCCCCATCTTTTGGCAACAACACTTTATTTTAGGAGCAAGAACCCCTTACCCCTTCTATGCTGTTTTGTTAGGGCTATCTGTTGGTGTTCTGTCTTGAATAGCTAACAGTTGAGATTGTGATTATGAAATCCGAGGTTAAGAAATAGAAAAAAGTGGTGGCACCTGTGGCTCAAAGGAGTAGGGCACCAGCCCCATATGCCGGAGGTGGCGAGTTCAAACCCATCCCCAGCTAAAAACTGCAAAAAAAGAAAAAGGAAGTAGAGGACAGGAACAAGCTACAGTATTGGGAAATTAGAGTGGTCAATGGTTCTGATTAGGTTGAAGGACAGTCTGTAATGAAGCAAGTAAACCGAAGGCCAGTGAGTCGGGAGGCCTGAATAAGCAGTTGTAGTGAAGAAGCAATTCCTGGTGACAATAACTTCTAAGTGTTATGAAAGAAGTGAGTGGTGGACAGTAGAGGGAGGTCAGTTCAGATACAGAGGTCAAAGGTCAGAGAGGCCTGAACGTGGGATAGACACACAGCCTACATGGACTGAAGTCACGTCTGATATTAGTGAGGCTGAGGGCTAAGACAGAACATGATCTAGGTTCCCAAGTCTTATTTGGATGAGACGGAATCGACTGGGATGTTGGCTGGCACCAAGATGAGTCAGTCAGAGCACCTTAACCTCAAAGGAGCTGAGGATTTTAAAATAAGCAGAAGAATCAGTCTTAAAGTAACAATGGGAAACCTCCAGCACACAGAGCCTCCTCACTGGGAGGATGAAGGAGAAAAGAGACAGTGCTGCAGAGATGGTGGGTTGACCTTAGAAGACAGCCAGTCTTTGTACAGCAAGAAGGTGGAGGGACCACCTACGGAAGAGCATGGGATGGAGGAGAGTTTGCTGAGTGGGAATTCCAGACGGAGAGAGGAAGAGTCTGGGAGTCTGAGGACGACAGAAACAGCAAGGAGAGGTAGAATGTCACAGAGCTGATAGGAAATGTTTATTTACGGTTTGTGCACTGACTGGGAAAAGCACTGAGGGAACTGATAACAACAGTTTCTTTCAGGAGACTGGGCAACTGGCCTAGTAGCGAGAGGTCTTATTTATCCCTGCCAAGGGGAAAGGGGACGCTTAGCCAACCCTACATATGCCGCAGCCTGCTTGTTGAAAGAATAAATGTTGCATGTGCCATTGCAAGAAGCCTCAAGAAAGCATCCTGAAAGACGTGCCCCATGTGACACGGCCGCTTGGTGACCACTTCCCTGATTACTATACTCGGCATAGAAATTACATAAACGCATGTGACTGAGTTGGTATCTTCAGCACCATTCCTCTGATCTGATGTTAACATAAACAATCAACCTGATTTGAATCGTCCGTGTCTCTTTGTTTAGATATGCCACCTTATACATTTCCCCTGTTCCATGACTATAGAGGTAGTACAGTCTATGACTGAGTTTTAGTTTAAAACTCAACCAAAAGCTAGAAATAACTGAGATAACATAACCCTGACACCTTCACTGAGCAATCTGCAAATATTCAGAATGTTCTGTGTTGTTTTGTTTTAAGGAACTAAGATTTATCCAAAAATGTTTTAGATTTTCAAGCACCAGATGGAATATGCAGAAACCAAGCCTACCCTGAAGAAATCAGTAACTGGTAGATATTCAAAATCACTATGCATAAGAAAAAATATCTTAAGGTGGTTTAAGGTAGTTTAAAGTATCTTAAAGTGGTTAAGAGGCAAACTATTTATATATATAAGAAAATAACTGTAACTGTATATATAAATATGGAAATAGCTTTCTTCTTGCAGCCATATGTGAAATTCCTGCAGCTTCGTATGTTGTCATCACAATTGAATGAAAGGCAATACCGTATAGTGACTGGATACATGGGGATGTTATTTTTCATGCTGGATCTACCCATTTTTGCTGTGTGACTCTGGACAAGTTTCCTAACCCTTCTGTGCTGCAGTTTCTCAATGTGCCCGTATGAGGGGCAAAGGACTAGACAATATAACATAGTAAACACTATGGAAGTTTTAGCTGTTGCTGTTATTCAGCACATGTGCCTGAAAGTTGGAGGAGAATGTATTTCCTTTTTATTTTTTTTAACCATTTGTTTGATCTTCAGGTTTCTAGAAGTAACAAAAGGAGGAGTACATCTGAAAGAGGTGGCTTGGAAAACTGAAATCCAGTTCATGCAATCATTTATTTCCACCAGCATTGTTTAATTCCCTACTACGTGGAGAGGCATCAAAGAAAGTAGAATCAGAAAACCTTGATGCATAGTCCTGCCCTGTCACTCACTAAGTGTATGACCCTTACTAGGTCATTTTATTTTCTGTACCATTTCTTACCTATAAAGTAGAAATTACCCACCCCAGAGTTACTGTGGGATGGGAGCAGACATAGACACAGTTACCTCACAACAATCAACACCAGTTTAACAATAATAATAATAATGAGGTTTTAGCACCTCACATATGAGATCAATGGTTCTCAACCTCCCTAATGTCTCCACCCTTTAACACAGTTCCTCCTATTGTGGTGACCCCTCAATCATAAAATTATTCTCGTTGCTACTTCATAACTGTAATTTTGCTACTGTTATGAATCGTAATGTAAATATCTGATGTGCAGGATGTATTTAGGCCACCCCTGTGAAAGGGTCATTCGACCCCCAAAGGGGTCGTGACCCACAGGTTGAGAACCGCTGGACTAGATTATACAACTCCTCTGTGAAGACCTCTTCAAACAACTGTCCATAAATTAGTGTTTGTGACAGAAAAAGTAGAATAAATCGAGTTCAACCTGAACATACAGATCAGTTCCAAACACCAATTTTGTCTGTTGCAGGAGACTGATGCTACCCGAGATCAAGTTAGTGGACTCTGCAGCTAGTTACTCTCGCTAATCTAACTCAGTGTCCCAATTCAGAGGACTAGGACCAGCCTCCCTCCAGAGCCCCTGTAGCTCCCATGTTTTTCTGGTTGCTTGGTGGGCTGTTTCCTGATTCTAAGCCTGCATACTATATGTTTCTTTTCTTTTTTTTCTGACACGGATTCTTACTCTGTCACCCTGAGTAGAGTGCCATAGCATCATTACAGCTTACCACAACCTCAAACCCTTGGGCTCAAATGATCCTCTTGCCTCAGTTTTTCTATTTTTAGTAGATATGGAGTCTTGCTCTCGCTTAGGCTGGTCTCAAACTCCTGAACTCAAGCAATCCCCCACTTTGGCCTCCCAGAGTGCTAGGATTAGAGGTGTGCGCCATCGCACACAGCCACTATTTCTGTTTCTTTTGCTTATTTTTATCAGATTCCCTCTCTGGGAAAGAGGCTCTTCCTGGACCTGAACCCCATGGGCTATAGTCCTCACTCATTGGCTGGCCTTGAAGTCTGGTCGTCCTTGCTGCACTCTCCTATGATGAGCTCACACTGTTACTGCACACAGTGTCTGGAGAGCCCCCCCACACACACACTTCTTCCCTGTTTGCTTTCTAAGCTACACAATAAGCAGACTCTAGCATCCTACTGGACATGATACTTTTTGTGAGACTGTCCCCCTCCTCACCGCTCTGTGCTGTGGCGCTCCACTGCTGGCCCAACTTCTCGGGTGTGTCAAATACAAAGAAACCTGTTGTTTCCTGGGATGCAAAAACATACCAAGCAAAACTAGAAATGATACTTCTAGAACCTAGCTCTTGGATAGGACTAGTGAAGGCTGACATGCTGTACTTGCAGGCAGTTAGAAACATTTATAGCCACTGTGTGTCAGTCACTCAGTCCTCAAACATTTGTCCACACTAAGTGCAGGGCACAGTACTAGGCACTAGAAATACATAAGCAAATAAGATCAACAGGCTCTGACCTCAAAGAGTACAGCATTTGGGGGAGTGTAGACTGAGACTAGAGAGACACCAGTACAGCACCCTCAGAATTTCAGCACTGAAGGTCTTTGGGGGCGTTTCTCCATCTTACGTCATGTCAGACAGATCCCCCAGGAGTTTCTAACTTATTTAAAATAATGGTAACACACACCAGGGCATGATATTAAAAGGTCTATGCTAGCAAGAAAAATATAATTTGTAAGTACTAAAGTAATACAAACTAGAATGATAAGAAGTTAAACCAACTGGGAAAGGGTTTAGGTTAGATTTAGGTGGAAATGATTAAAATATGATAACTGAATACTATTTTTAGAGGGCTTTTTTTTTTTTTTGGATTAGTGTATCTTTATTGGCCAAGCAGCCTAGAAAATATGGGACACTTCACAAATTTGCGTGTTACCCTTGCACAAAGGCCAGGCCAATCCTCTCGGTATCGTTCCAATTCTAGTATATGTGTTGCTGAAGCAAGCATAATTTTAGAGTTTTTTCTTTTTTGTTTTCAATTTTGTTTTCTGTTGTTTTTCATTTGGGTTTTTTTTTTTCTATATCTGCTTTTTAATGTTGTCTAAGTTTGTATTTAATCATAACACAATTTTTCACCTACAGTCATTAGCTACCAAATGTCTTCCTCATACTAGAAGCAATGAAAGGTGATTACTTTCTGAGTACAAGTGATATTTTCAGCATGACCCTTTAGTCATAGATCTCTCAAGAGTCCTAGCATATCTCAAAAACCACTGAGGCAGCCAGTATCATTACAGGAAATTTTGAATGGTAAAGGGCTATGTAAGGCATGATTAAGAACTTTATAAATTTTTGTAATAATGAGGTTATAATGACTACCATAGATCTGTTATGCTTACCACCTTTATACCCTAATGAGGGACAAAGCCAGCCCAATAATTGGCTTTTTCGAAAAGAGTAAATTTCTAAAAGCAATTCTTGCTTTTATCTCTACTTTAATTCTCAAAGTCTTTTTTGCCTAGGTAAAAATATAAAATAAAAATTCTGAAGTGGACGAGTATACTAACTATAAAACAGAGCTCTTATTATAAGACAACCATTTAGTTACCTGGTGGAAACATAACACGTGCAGCTGTGCACGGTGCACACACACAAATAATACACACAGGGATGACTAAGATGGCACACATTTGCAACATCACTTATTGTTTCTGATTTAAAACAACATTAGAGCACTTATACAGCAAAAAACATGCGCTCACCTCTAAAGTGTATTTAATGAGAAATACGATAAAATGCAGCTGAAACCAAAATTTATTTCCCTTAGCAAAATAGTAACTATCAAATTCTGAAGTTATGGAGCACTCCATGAAGCATTTTTACTTAAATTCATTTATTTGCCTGCCAGAAAGAGAAATGAATATATGCAGAGGAGGTGAATGATTCTGCAGACTCTTACAACACGAGGAGCTTGACACAGTTTACAAATTCTCAGCAATGTGATTACCGCTGGGACTGACAGTTATGCATATTTGATGTAGGAGTTAAGATGCTTGGGGTAATTACGACTTATTCTTTTTGCTGCTCCTCAAAATTAAAAATGAAAGATTAGTTACAATGGGGTTTTTTTTCCTCCTGAGGAAAAGAATAAATTCTTGTTAACTGGAGAGAAGCAAATTTTAGAGTTGTTTTTTTTTTTTAAAGATGGAGGAGATATTAAGAATAACTTAAGGCATCATTTCTTAAAGATCTTTATTACATACCACTCCAGATACCAACTTTCAAATCAAGAATCCACTGTCTTCTATCACTGTTCAGTGCGTAAATATCATCCTCCCCACCTGGGCATTCGTAAAGATCACAGCTCTCAATTAGATGCTATGCTGTTTGTTGAATGCCACATTTCCACAAGGGGCTGCCTACAACAGTCATCTTATAAAGTATGGTTTAAAACTCTTCTAGCTAATAGTCTGCTTAATAACAGTTCGCAATCATAGGGAGGAGACTGAGGGGCTCTGATCTTGATCTGTAGATCTGAACAAATAAATCTTAACAATATAAATTAATAGACTTGTTAAGAAAACATGTTTCTTTGCCTCTTGGCAGCTATAGGGCAAAGCTGAAATCCCTGACTCTAAAACGCCTTTACACATACCTTTCAAAAGATTCATCATTATTTGTTTTCTTGTAGTGAAATGAATGAAGCATTTGATGAGGAAACACCTTAAAAATCCCCACAGCTGCTCTACCATATTGTTCCAAATCAACTTGGCCTAAAATTTTCAAGCATTTCCTCAGCAGCTCACTGGATGAATGGCTGTGTTTTCCAGTACACACTTGGGCGACAAGTTTTATCAAGAATAAAATTGAAGAACTTTTCATGTTATTTAGTAGTATATCTGAGAAAACAGATGAGTTGTGATGATAAGTCCTACAGCCTGTTGAGATCTAGCATGCAAGTTAAGAATGTCAGCTCAGTAGCTAAAATGTTTAGGTGAAATCCCAGCTCACTTCTACCTGAATTCAAGGTGCAAGACACTAAACCTGTATTCCTCAGTTTCCTTATCAGCAAAAGGGAAATAATCATACTACCTATAACATAGCGTTGAAAATTAAATAACACATATAAAAGATTAGGAACAGTGTCTGATAGTGAGCTCTTAATAAATACTAGTTATTATTTTTTAAAACCAGTGCATAAAACTGTACAAATGGTTACTGAAGAGGCAGTTTCTAGATCTCTTTGCAACAATATACCAGGGATATACAGTCCTTTACATCTAAACATTTTAAGAATATTGCACTTTATAAAGATCTTTGGTGCCCTGTAGATTATGTCAGTGTAATATAGGTAGATAAGAATATATCACAGGGGAGATTAACACTGGCATTCTAAATAGGTCAACTTCTTTGACTACAACATAAGGAAATTACCAACTCCATAGGCTATCAGTGACTATTTCTGTACCTTTTCCAATTCTAAAGTACAGAAGCTACAAATTTTATATATTAATATTTAGGATTAGCATTTACAGACATCTTTACTTGTTATGATTTATTTGTTTCTTCCTTACTGTAAGACAACTGATTTGTAATGCTCTGTAAATCTTAATGAAAATGTACTCCAAAGAGTAAAAGATGACAGAAATGGACCAAAAGAAAAACCCATAAAACCAAACCAATCCTCTGAACATAGTCCCTCTTTCCTGTTCCAGTCTCATCAGCTGACCTCTGTCTATCTCCATTACCACCTCACCTCTACACAGATCTGGACCAAAAATAAAAAAGCGGAACAAAGATCTGGTGCTATAACCAGGTTCAACAGCTCTCAGAGATGGGGTACCAGAGGTGGTAGAGAGGTCACGGAAAGGAAGGAGAACACAAAAGGCTCATCTCTCAGCCTCTTAGGTACAAACTAAGGAGCATCAAGCCAGGAAGAATATTCCTCAGGATAATTAATTTAAAAATAATACTCAAAGTTATTACAAATTTTAAACTTTTAAGAAATAATTGACTACCAGCTACGTAAGGACATGTGATTCCGCCAAGAAGCAAGGACAGAGCATAGAGACATCATACTGCTCTCAAGACATTCTCAAACATTCCTTCTCTTCTTTCCCCCAATTTTCCAACATACATATTCTTTTAAAGTACAAAGAAATACACTGCTGTTGTTACTTAAAAAAAAAAAAAAAACACTTTTAAATACGACCAACTTCAAAGGAATCTTGAGCTTTTAAAGTTAGTTTTTAGAGTTATATCCTTTTTTTTTTTTTTGAGACACAGCCTCAAGCTATCCCCCTGGGTAAAGTGCCGTGGCATCACAGCTCACAGCAACCTCCAACTCCTGGGCTTAAGCGAGTCTCCTGCCTCAGCCTCCCAAGTAGCTGGGACCACAGGTGCCTGCCACTAGGCCCAGCTATTTTTGGTTGCAGTCGTCATTGTTGTTTTGGCGGGCGGGGGCTGGATTCAAACCGGCCACCTTAGGTGTATGTGGCTGGCACCTTAGCCACTTGAGCCACAGGTGCTGAGCCTAGAGTTATATCCTTTGCAAACTTTTGCTTTTCTATCACAATCACCTGAATAAATAATACTTTAATAGGATTTTTCTTAAACTTGCTTAGATAATTTTTCTCCTTAAGGACTTTCTATACATAATTTTCATGTTTCATATGTCAATAAAAGTACTATAGCTTAAGTCACTATAGGATCCCTGGATGATTTCACATATAGAAATAACACAACAAAAAACTCAAGTTTCCTTTATGAATATTATTCTTGCAAGAATCTTTAAGATGTTGCCTACTCGCATTTTATCTCCCACCCTTTTAGGTACAAACTAAGGAACAAAAATCAAAGACTATTCATAAGAATAACTAACTTAAAAATAAAACTCAACGGTATTATAAATAATAAACTTTTAAAAAATAATTGACTACCAGATATGTGGTAGTTACACCACCTATCCTTAATATATTTTCTTAAAAGGTATTTGGTTCTACCATGAAGCAAATTTATGCTTGTAGAGATCACGGCGAAACTTGCCCTTTTCCCTTTGGTTGGTTTGCTCAAAGATCAACTCACATTTATGGGTAGATTAACCAGAGTAAGGTTCATTTCCAAATACCATGCACATAGGGGGAATCACAAGAATGATTCCCAAAGTCTCAGAGATGGTCAGTGACTTTTAAAGATGTCTTTTAGAAGGGAGGGGGGAGAGTGTAGAAAGTATACAATCAGCAAGTGGTTGCTAAGCAGGATGTGTGTAGATGGGTGGAAACCGACTGAATTGCAGATTAACCTGAGAGACAGGTCTGGTGCTTCAAACGACCTTGGGGCCAGGTCTATTCCTATGCAATAAGGAATCAGCAGCCTTTTCTGACTTTAAATCAGGTTACTCAGGTTTTATAGAGGAGAGGCCAGTGTTTTCTGATCATAAATAGCCTTTTAATTCAAAATATTCTTTTACCAAAGGGATCATATTTTGGGATGAAATTTCCCTTAGCTCCTTCATGCTTCACTGCCTTATTGTTGAATTTTTACAGTCAACACACACAGACTGCTTCTAGTGTCAGGAAGCAAGGACATGAAAATAGAGACTTTCTTTTAAGTTAGCATTTTAAATTTAAACAGGTGGAGTCTCAATGCAATATCAGGATAACTAGTATGAAAAACCCTGGTGAGTATCCTGATTTTATTTAATTCGGATAAATCTTTTGGGAATGCTTCAATACAGGGACAGCTGAAATCTAGTTGATTAGGTATTAGAGGACCAGGTATTGGGTAAGTTATATGACTTACAATTTACTTCTCTGAGTCTCTTTCTACATTTGCAATTTGGAGGTAACACTGCCTGCTCTATGTACTTCCTAGAATTATTAAAAGGTACCAAAATATTTTAAAATATTTTGAAAACAGCAAAGTGCTATAAATCTCAAGTGCTTCCCATTTAAACTGCTCAGCCAGCCACAGCTAAGCTCTGCATTTATATGACAGATGCCATTTT